GAGTAAACTTTAAGAGAAATAGTGATTTATTGTATAAAAAAATTAAAAATTTTTTTGTAATTTCCTTAGGGATTTTCAAATGTTTGTCGATTAATTTGTTAACTAGTATAACTTACGGCACATAGTGCTATATGCAAATTGTCGGATCAGTCGACGAGGTGGCAAAAAAAGACTTTTGAAATTTGTAAGTTTTAGTTTTTTAAAATCTGCAGAGTTTATCTTGTTTATGTGATAAAATGTAGAAAAGGTTTTGTTTTTAACCTGTATAGTTAAAATTGTGATAAAAAATTGATATTGAAAATGTTAAAAAAACCTAAGTGTAGTCTGATTTCTACTGTATGTGCAGTGTCCATGCTGAAATGAGGTATGGTTTACAAAGAATTTATGTGAGTTTTTTGGTTTTTATTTGTGTCCTGTTAAATATTTTTATATATATTTAGTTAGCTGAAGAGGGGCTGATGCCCGAAACGTTGATGTATGGAAAAACGTTCTAACTAAATAAAAGATTCAACTAGCCCAGTGTTGAGAAAAACGTCACTTCATTGTGCCAGTACACAATAAGCAAATACAACACGGTTTCGACAACATCAATAAAAGAAGTGTCTAACCTGAAAGCTGTAATGATAGTCTACCGAACTTAATGTCTGATTAAAGAGACAAGACATACTTGAACATAAAAACAGCTGTCCAAAAGTGATATTTAGTATAAAAATACAGTAGAGCATCGATTATCCGACTCAATTAGGGACTCAGGTTGGTCGGATAACTGAAAAAATCGGATAACCGAAAAGAAGGAAAAAATACATCATTAGTATAGTATATTAGGATATTAGTAAATCCCATGTAATTAGTTTATTAGTATATCGCTATTAACCAACTTCGCATTGAATTTTCATCGATGTTTAGCCTAACAAATTTTTACCTAAAATAATAATCGTCGCTATTGTATCGTTAAAAATTATTTTTAAATTATTTTATTGCTCACGAAACAAACAACCACTCATAACTAAAAAATTAAGTCTCGTTTAAATATTGGCCTCCCTTCAATGGTCGAGCCGTTGATGCCAGCTAAAACACGCAAAAATTTAACAAAAATAATATTAAAGTAGCCAAGACATAGCTAAATATTGTAATGCCACATCACTAGCAAACATTTGAAATTTGCCGACTAGAACGGTCGGTTAACCGATGTGACGGTTAATCGGGGGTCGGATAATCGATGCTCTAATGTATTGTTATGTGTTGGAATCAACGATCGAAATTATCGTCTAATGTTATACGACATCGTTACGTACCGTACAACACATTGTGTCGCGATGTTTTGTAAACGTTGTTCCGTTATGTAATCAAAGGTTGGTGGCGCTGTTGACCCCTCGGGGAGTCGTTAGAGACGATGACTTCGTTTCACTCTCCCCTTTCCAGCGCTGACCTTCCGTGAGTCAAGACTGTGTATTGTGTGTATTCTTTGTTATATAACCAGTTACGCGAGTCTAACTTGTTTTTACTAATCTCTCCTAAAAGCAACATCTAGTCTAACATTACAGTATATTGAGGGTTAAGTATTACACTTATCACTTTAAACTCTGATCATCTTTATTATAATTAAATAAAATCGAAAAAAATATGTAAATTCTAGATAAAACAATTTAGATTTATATCACTTATTTAATTGTCTAAATCCCAAATCTAAGGACAAACAATACAAATTAGATTTATATGAGAAAAATAGATTCTAAAGTGACCATCCTGCCCAACATATAGTATAGACTTCAATGTTTTGACTTAAAATAAAATGGCGGTCGATAGTACCCGTCGTTGCCACCGACAGCGCTGTATCTAAAGTCACAACCATTCTATGTAGTATATTCTAGCTCGTTGATATTTTGCTAAAAATCTTATTTTGAAAACTTTTCGGACCAAATTGCCAAAAAAATGCTAAACTTAAAGCTCTTTTAAATTTTAAAAATTAAACATAATTATTAAAATTCCCAATCGTATGAAAATTATTCTTTCAAATTGTATATAAATAAATATTTCTAAAATTAGTTTTAATTTACGAAGGCATAAAATTCGATTAATAAAAATTTTATTTAACGGAAAAGAAAGAAATTAAAGTCGAAATATATTTGACGCCAGATGTCGCAGGACTAAACGTACAGAAGTTTGTTTTGTGTGTGTACGGATGTGTGTGTTTGTTGGAAGAGAGTTTGTCAAGATGTTGAGTTTTGCTTGGATCGTTATAGTTGTATGTCTTTTAACAATTGACTGTGATCATTGTACTTACGTAAATTGTGCCGAGGTTTTGGAATCGAGCGTTAAATCGTCTACATTTAGTCACGATAGTAATGTCAAAGTTTCCAAAAGAATGTCAACTTCATCAAGCGTATCCAGTGAAAATGTCAATGATGAAGAAGAGAGTAAGTGTCTATTTTGTATAAATTTCGTGACAAGTTTGTAAATTATTAATAAATATCCATGTAAGTATCAACGTCAAAGTTTATATTTTATAACTTTCTATGATGCTAGCAAAAAGTTTGGATAAAGTACATTTATCTCTAGTCTCTTGCAGTATAATGTTAGAGAATATACAAACAATGATAAGATGTGAACTGTGAATGAAGTATTTATCACACCCCTATAAGAGCAAAACAGACCCTACCTGTACATGCAACCTTTGCCAGGTATTCTTTCCCAAAGATCAGTTTATACCGTGAACTGGTATACTGCCTATTCTCTGTGTTCCATGTCGGTTGAGGGGTATGGTTCCTTTAACTTTTTTCTCCTACGGGCACGGTCTACGGCTCTGTTAAGATTCCGACCGTCTCGTTCGGAGGTGTAATTGTATCTAAATGATTGAAGGCCCACCAGTAGCCAAGCATTTCCATTCCCTGAACACTGGAAATTTGATTGTGGGTTTACACCTCACCAGGACGGGCTGGCTATGTGGAGTTTTCCGGATTTTCTATATGTCTGTAATGTCTGAATAGGGGCTAGTTACCCTTAAAAAGACCCCCCCCAAAAGGCAGTCCCCAGACAGATTGCTTAAGTGTTGTGTTTCCATAACTTAATAAACAAACCTAAATGATTGTGAGAAAAATGTTTGAATAAATGGTATTTGTTTATAAACTTTAAACTTTTCATTGTAATATTTGTAATTTTTGTTGAAGCTGTATAAAATATAAAAAAAAATTGTGTTGTAAATGAAATGTGATTCCTGAAGATGAGTTATTTGATATTGGTAAGTAACTTTGTTAGAAATTTGATTTTTCCAAGTTATTGAATTCTTGCACTTGTGTTTTATTGCTTTTATATTGCTTTTCTCTATTTAAATGGAAATTGTATTACCGGATTGATTTTTACTGCGTGAATTAAAAAAGGAGAATGTACTGAATTGTTTTTGTTATGTTAATAGAATATGTATAAACTATGACTCTAGTCTGATTTTTAATTAATTGCAACCAGACAGTCTGCTAAATTATCAGACTATATATAGTCTGATAATTTGTTGATAATTATCAGACTATATATAGTCTGATAATTTGTTGGATTGTATGGTTGTGCTTATGAAACAGTTTTACTATTAGTTGATTTCACATGTAATGAAAAACAAAATTTGACATTAATATGCTAAATATAAATTTTTTGTTAAATTGTGTACATACATTTAGTAGGAGTAACTGTAACTGTATACAGAAGAATGTTTTGCTGAACATTAAATTTCTTTAGAGATTCCATAAAACTTACGTATGGTGACCTCAGAGAGAGCGAGTGATCAAAGTCCAGTCTTTTATATTAGAACCTTTACATTTGAGTTTGCTTAAAAGCAGCTGCTTTATCTAATACAATAAGATCCATGTCAAATTTTTTGTTACATCCCAGACTTTAAAAGAAGAAAATATGGGAAATATTGTGTAAAAGTTTTCATTAATTATCTCAAGATTAGGATTTACTGACAGGGATCATTCTTGCTCTGAGGTTGTTATATGTACTTTTAAAGATTTAATATGGAATATCCAAACAAAATTATTTTAATTTTTAGAAAAGAATGCTGATGTTATGTTTAATGTATGAATATATTTGGATAGGCTATTAAGAATAATTGAATATGATAACTTGGTAGAAATCTGAAAAAATATATAACTATAAATGAAATTTATTAAAAGCCAGTATACTAAGTACATTTTAAATTTGAAGGCAAATAATAACTTTTAACTAATAATAACAAATTGTATATTTTGTTTAAAAGAATTTTTATAGGCTCATTTCAACTTACTTAAACATCTAACTAAATTTTTATTTTATTAAATCTAAGTAGCTTGAATTCTGTGAATAAAATATAATGTTTTAATATATTATTTTATTTACTTATCTTTCTTTTGTAAATACTAAGTAAAAACTTTTCTGAATACTTTTCTTTAAATTTTTCAAACTGATTCTTCACATAAACCTTCAATAAAAAATTTTGATTTCCAATATTACTTTGTTAATGAGGATATTACAACTTCCTTAAAATTGTAATTCCTTTGTTGGTACAATAATGACAAAGATTACTAAACAAATTGTAGATGTTGGATTAATAAGTTAAATGTGGATATATAAGTAATTTGAAAGCTGTCATTTTGATAATCATGGAATGACTTTTCATAAATTAGATTATATTTTCAATTTTATATGATAAAATCAAAATTAATATTGTATAGACCTACAAATATGAAGCTATAATTGTTATTTAGCTTCATATTTTAATTACTAATAATAATTTAATAATCAATAATTACTAATAATTATTGATTACGTCATTGTTATATGCATCACTTTGATGATTTCATTTAGGGCCTACCATAAGTTGTTACAATGTGATGATTTGAAATTTTTCCTGATTTATTCTCACATTTGAAATTTTTACAGAATATTAATATATATATATATATTTGAACAATGTTTTGAGTATGTCCAAAAATAATATCAATAATTGTCGAAAATTTAATTTTTAAAATATTTATTTTCCTAATTAGATGCAAATTTTTATCTTTCTTTAAAAAATTCATAAATATCTTAANCATACATATATGTATGTATGTATGTATTTGTATATATATATACAAATACATACATATACAAGGAATATATAGTTTATTGCAAGAAGGCTTAATATTCTTCTCCCAGATTAAAAATTAAAATCCTAGAATAAATCAATAAATATTTCAGCCTTTCATTTCAAATTTAAAAATAAGGTTTGAAATGTTTATATCAGGGATGGCCAACACGTAGACTGCGGTCAACCACAAAGGTTTTGAAAGTAGCCAGCGAAGCTAAAGTTGAACAATTTGCTTTCACTTAAATTAATGTTTAAAAATCTTAATTCGATAATTTATTCTTACAATAATAGACTGTCTGTGCAATGTACCCATACTGTTTATATTTATCCTGATGAACAATGCAAATGAATGTTAATGCATACGCATATAAAAATCCTAAAATTGTTTGCCCATATTTATAGTTGCCCGTAGACTATATTTTACCAAAAAAGTAGTTTCTAAGGGATAAAAGTTTGGCCACACCTGGTTTATATAAACTAATGATTGTTACATATAATCTTATTAGTTAAATTGTTCTTTTCTTATCTCAGTTTTGAATAGAATAATACTACAAAATATAATTTGAAGCATATAGTGTAAAAATTTTTTTCCACATAAATAGAAAATTCTTAGAATGACAGTTATTTCAGTGATGCTATTAAATGATTGTGCAATTGTTTAAACAGATTTTAGAAAAAAACAATTTTATTATTCTTTTTTCATTCATGAACTGTTTTTGACATTTAAGATTTATTTGTAAAATTCTATTGATTTTATTATACAGGTATTGAAATGTATAATAAAATAAATGTTTTTTATAATTAAACGAAGGTTAAATCTCTATTACTAGAATAAAAAAATCAGAATGTAAATTCTGACTGGAACATTTCCTAAAATAACAGAGCAAATAAATAATAAAATTAGTTAATATATACAGAATTTTAAAGTAGTAAAATCTTCTCTAGAAATTTGTTATTTATAAGTTTGTTAAGTAATCTGTGATTTTAAAATAATTCAGTCGGCATATTGAATTTAAAAAATATTATTCTAGAAATAATCAAAAAATGTTATCAAAATGATGGGATTTTATACAGATTTTTAATTTCTCATAAATTATTACACTTAAAGATTGAATTTATCCTCCTCTCTCATACAATAATCATAGTCAAATAACACTTTAATTAAAGTAATTGTCTTTGTATCCTGAATACTAACAACAATGCTAGATTATTAATTATGACTTCATATTAACTGTTTTATTTTTTATATATCCTTATAATTAAATGTATATTAGCATTTCTAACATTTTTTGATTATAATTATTAAACCTTTTTCTAATTTAAAAATAAAATTAGATTTCATATTCATTTAAAATAAAATAAGAAAGTTTATTTAAAAATATTGAAAGCTTAATATTGTCATGGATACAATTGCTAGTTAAATTATATCAGTTCATTAACTAATGAACAGATTTTTTTAAACTGCTAATTAGAAGGACAAATGTAAGTTTTTATCTAAATATTTTTATAATAATTGAAGAGATTTTTACAAATTTCAGAGTATAAATAAAAATATTTTTAATAGTCAATTCTTACATTACATTTGGTTAGGACCTGGTTATATATCAAGCAAAAGATTCAGAATTAACAATTTTAAAAAGTTTAGAAACATTTGAACAGTTTTAAATGAATTTCTGCAGATTTTCAGTATTGATGATTTGACTTTTTTTGTTTATTTTCACATGTTATATGTTGTTAGATATTTGATATTATTTCAAATAATTCAATAACTAGAAAGTAATTTTAGTGTCAAGTAATTTAAAAAGAAAAATGGAAATAATTTGAAAACAAGGTTAAATCATTAATATTGAAAGTAAAGAAATTNAGTGCTACATTTTGTTTTAACTAAATTTTAAAATGCTTATGAATTTTAATTTTTTAAAGCCAGAAATTAGTAGTATTGAGATTCAGCAATCTTACACACGTTACAAGAAAACTATTGTTAATAGTTTTTCTAGTTATCATTAAATATTTATTAAGGATTTTTAGTGAACGTTCACTAAAATTTTATTATTTAGTAAATGAATATGCTGCTGTGGTGTTTTTTATTATGTAAATTTATATTCTTGTACATTATTTAATATTCATTATTGCTTATTAAAAAAATCATATGTAATATTTCAATGATATCAATGATTCAGTACAGATAAGACTGTTAACTACCGAAATGTAGATTAAAACGATTATTTTAAAATCATCAAATAGAAATTTTATCAAGTGCAATTGTTTACTGTAATAACTAGAAAAAACTGCAAGTTTTAGTTTAGATATGCCGAGGAG